TTTTTAATTTAACACTGTTAGGTTTAAAACTGTGAGGTAATATTTTAAATAAACTTTCCTCTAGTTACGAAGAATTTTTTAGGTGACAATATTTGTAGTTAAGACTAACAGAAATCTTATTTACGAAGTAAAAAGGCGAAAAGGCTGGAATTAGGGGCATGGCTGGTATTAGGGGCATCCACCCTACCAGCTTAAAATAGCAGCTCAATGCTGTTGTGTTTCGTATGGCGAGTGTAGAGAACCGGACACCCTTTTTGCTGGAATAGAGGCATTCCATCTTAGTCCTCACGGGTGACAACGCATCTGCATTTTGATTCTTTATTGAAAATAGATATCTATGGGTCACAGCAATCACTTACCATCAGGTGGACTGTGTGCTCGTTTATCACTCTATTCTTTAAAAAAAAATTAAGATGCTACATCACTATTTCATTTCTGATCATAAGCTTTCTCCACTGAATGCAGCAAACCGCGGTCTTGAACCACCTGTATGACTCTATAAGCCGTCACTCGTGCACAGTGAGGATAACCATTGCTGCACTTGCCGGTAAGAGGCTGCCATTCGAAAAGGATTTCTTCTTTACAGTAATGGTTCATTACTAATTTAGCTCACTTCTCCTAATATTCTCATCACGGATTTTATCACGCAAGGGAACTCCGAGAATAGCATATAAGATATGTCAACAGGAAAGATTTACTATACGAGTATTTTGTTGAGTGCATTTTGTTTGAGGTATTACTGGACGAGAAGGGTATTGAAAATATCAAAAACTACGTGGCCTGTAACAGAGTTCCTATAGTTACTGTACATCACTGATCCAGTGTTCAAATCTAAACCGTTCTAGCTTAGATTACATAACTCTACTACTTTACCTGGATTTATATGGTGTAAGTTAAGCTTTATGGACAACTAGCTGTGCCCGCGGCGTAGCTCGCGTATACAGGTTTTACATAAAGAATTTGTCGTTTAGGTAAGAGAATATTAAACGATTTATTTCATTACTGTATCAATAAGTGGTAAGAAAATAAATCATTATCATCAAAGTTCTAAGTCGTTTATGATAGAGCTTCTGTGTAAACGACGTTAGAAGTAGGCTTAGCCGGGGTATACACAAAAATGTTACGGGGGCTACTAACGCGGGAAAAAGCAACATAGAGTTGGCCATGTGCAAAACAGTCAGTACTGAGGTACACTCCTACAACGCGTAAAGTTTGACCTTGCGCTTTATTTACGGTCATCGCATAACACACATTCACTGTAACTGGGAACTGAACGCGCTTAAAACTGAAAGGAAAGTTACATCTTAATAGAGGGTTTTTGGGCAGTGCTGCCAGATAAAAAAAACTCATTCAGCTCTAGGACAACACAAAAAGCGCTAGATTTCATGAAAACAGCGCTTTAAAAAAGCCCTAGATTTCGCGCTAAATTAACTACAAACAAAGTTTGTGTTTTTTTATATAATCATAATAAAGAAAACAACATTAAGTTTTTTTTCTGGAAATATTTTTTTGATGTATCAATACTTCGCAGGACATCGACTTATAATAATTATAGCAATTGCTGTCAACAGTAGTTAGTACTGTACGAACAATAAAAATGTCATTAATTGTTTTAAAGTGCAATGTATTTCGCAACTTAGTTTCAGATGTCAGCATCTGATTGCGGTTGCTACACAGTTTCTTTGTGTTATAACTTCTAAGTAACTTTTAACTTAGCTGTGCTCTAAGCAACTGACTGAAACTGAATAAAGCATAATAAATGCGTTGCCAAAACCATGAACGAAAACTTTAATAAAGGGGATTTCCCCGCTTATAGTTGTCGGTAAAAAAATCAAGTTGATCATTCTAAAGGGGAAACCAGGAGATCCATAGCACAGGGTATCCTAGTTTGGACTCGTCTCCCCTGCTCTTTGTTTTGTGGAAAAAATATGTTTGAAAAAGATAAACTGCAATGTACTATTTGTGGGAAAAAATAATAAAGGTCATTATTATTATTATCGGTAATGTGGACTAACAGTGCTGCTATAAAAGAGTTAATAACCCGCTAGTCGCTAAAATATTGAAATGTGTGCTAAATACACCAAAAAGCGCTGGATTAAGCGCTAGGTGCTAAAATTTCAAAATGCGCGCTATACATTCCAAAAAAGTGCTAAATCTAGTTCCCAAAGCGCTAAAATGGCAGTTCTGATTTTGCGTATATTATAAATACAATATCGCGACATTTAGTTGCGAAATTTTTATTTTTGGTCTGGTTCCGTTGTACGGTTTATGTGGACTAACAGTGCTGCTATAAAAGAGTTAATAACCCGCTAGTCGCTAAAATATTGAAATGTGTGCTAAATACACCAAAAAGCGCTGGATTAAGCGCTAGGTGCTAAAATTTCAAAATGCGCGCTATACATTCCAAAAAAGTGCTAAATCTAGTTCCCAAAGCGCTAAAATGGCAGTTCTGATTTTGCGTATATTATAAATACAATATCGCGACATTTAGTTGCGAAATTTTTATTTTTGGTCTGGTTCCGTTGTACGGTTTCGTTGGATACAAATTTCTTCAGTAAGTCTCAATACGATTCATCGGCGAAAAATCTCAACACTGCAATTCAGAAAAGTTTGTAATTTGTACAACTCCATCTATTACGTCCTTTGTGTGAGAAAACATCCTATCTCTTTTTGTGTTTTAAGTATAAATATATTAATTATTATGGAACGTTTTTTTTTACACAGAAATCTTTTTATTACTATTTCTGAGATTTTATGGCGCCATTGAACAAATTCGAACCTACATTTCAAAATAATAATCATTACTTTCGATATAATTAACCAATTTTAATAAAACAAAGATTAAATGTAACTCGAAGATACGCTTTATGATATTCTTAACGATTTCTTTGAAAATAAAAGATGTTTACTTTAGACGTGATGCGTTCATATAATAACAGACAAATAGACAGACAGACAATTCTAAAAATTATAAAATGTTCTTATTTAATTATTTTCAGTTCATCATAATGATTTTAGCCACCAAAATATATATACAATGTACAGAAAGAGACACAACATGTTATCATCATTTTTATTATATGTATATATTTAAAGAGAGATGGCGCTGCTAACATCAATTCTAAAAATAAAAGAGATTAATTAACGCGATTGATACATTATATAAAACGTAAGAGAACTTATAAATCAGTGCCTGCACAGTAAGCAAAAAATAAAGTTTGACCCTCGCCAAAACCAATGCAATGGTTAATAGCTCTTTTAAAATTTGATTTACCACATAGAGTACTCGGCGGTAAAGAACAAATTGAGTTTGTCAACACGCAGTAGGGCAGCGAGTAATATAATAAAGATTAGCAGTAAATATGAAAACTCATCTACAGGTAAAAACGACATTTGCAATTGCATTACATTTTCACAACACCACCATCTATCGAAGAAATGGGTTAACTATTGTGCTTCAGATTTAGTTAATAACGTTAATATATTTTTGTATAATATATTTAATACGTTCTTTATTACTTTTGTTTACTGCGTTTTAGATATACATAATTATATCATTATTTTACATAATTTAACTATGATTTATGATATGATATTAGTTTAAAATGCACTTGATGACTCAAACAAAGCCACCGTTGAGCAAATTCGTACCTATACTTCCCTACCCATACTTCAGAATATTTATCATAACTTTTGATGGAATGAACTGATTTTAATGAAATAAAGACTAAATGTAACCCGAAGATACACTTTATAATTTCCTTAACAATTCTTATGATATAAATTAGTACTTTATACGTGATACGTTAACAAACAAACAGACAGACAGACAGACAGACAGAAAATTCTAAAATGGTAGAAATGTATTTAATTACTTATTTTTAGTACCCCTCAATCACTTTTATTACAAAAATATAAAATGTACAGACATCTGCTATTTACAGTTTTATTATATGTATAGATTTAGACTTAAATTTATGTAGTCCGCAACATACAACAACATTGAGGCAGTCATACGAGTTGTCTGGAGTTATTTTTTATGAAGCAATGAAAGTTTGCAATTTATATTTACCTAAGTTCGTTTTTCCTATATGTTAAATAAGAAAAGTATCGTTTTATTATTTTATTTCACAATATAAATACAAATAAAACTATGTTTATAATCATCACAAAAACCAATACTTACTGTGTATCTATTTAACATTAATAACCTTTTTTCAAAATATTGATATTATATACATACATCACACGCTGACTATGTTACCAATATATTGATTTTATGAAAAATTATTGGTTTTGGATAAGTATATTATAATATATTATATATGTTTTGATGATATTTTATGTATCAGACAAATAAATAAAATTAAAGTGTCTGTTTGTAATGTCAAAATAACAGCATTTTACTAAATGCATATGAAAGTATATACGCTACTTATAACAAAAACACAACTTTTAACATTTTTGTCTGTCTGTCTGTTTGTACCGGCTAATCTCCGAAACGACTGGACTGATTTCAAAGGGACTTTCACTGGCAGATAGCGGGTGTTATAAAGAGTAACTTAGGCTACTTATATTTTAGAAAATTAATTAGGTTTCCGCGCAACATAGTTAAAACCCTAAATTATGCGCGGGTGAAGTCGCGGGGAACAGCTAGTAAATAATATAATCACTCTCTACGTTTTAATTTTATGTACTATGGTATAGTAGTTATAGTGTTCTGTGGTATGTACATACTTTTTCTAAAGTTATATTGTTGGCTCACTGACCTCGATATATATATGGCTACAATGGGCCGTACGTCAAAACATTAAAAAAATAAAATTGACATAAGTAGGTAATCAATACATAAACTTAACCATAAAATTATATTTACAAAAAAAAATGAAAAACAAACTTCATTAAACTTCTTCTGTGATTAAACAAAAATGGAACAAAAAATTATCACAAAAATGTCTTTGTTTTAGTAAGTTATAAACGAAGAGGAAACCCTTGGCAAAATGTTGAATATTTTATCTTACGTCGGCATGAGCTTGCAGGCGGAAGTTTGCTTGTGGACATTACTGGGGCTTGTGCGAACCATCTTTGACGCCACGCTCTTTAAAGTGAACGCTAATCTAAAACAGGTGCCAGAAACCAACCCGTAAAATATTTTGCGATGAAAGATTAAATATCAGCATCCGTAACTCCGCACCAGATAACGGTGTGTTATAAATAACTAAAACTGTTTGAGAAAATTATAATATAATATTATTATATATATATATATATATATATATATATATATATATATATATATATATATATATTAATATATATTATATACATGCTTTTTTGACATTATAATTTTAAGTTAAATAGAATAACATTTTTAAAATTGTTTATTATTATGGTTTAACTGCAGCAAGCATGATGGATTGTACGAAAATATGTGGATTCTATATTTGAATGGTAGCCCATGTCAATATTTGTTATACTGATCTTAATCACAGCTCTACATTGACTCTCCTTGATCGGAGAATTTGTACTTTGTATTTTGGCCTGCTTTATTTTTATTGTTCACTTACTTCTTTATTTGACTTATACCATTTTAATGATTTTAATTTTAACGCATCTTTTTTGAAATTCTGTCAATTTTAAAATCTCTCTTTGATACATAATTTAAAATTAACAATTTTGTACAACCCACTTTAACATAAACAATAAATTATTAAGAATAACTCAAAAACTATTGGTCAGACTTTCAAATTTATATGGGACCACATGAGAAGCACCAATTTTAAATGAAAAAAGAATCATTGAAATCGGTTCACTCAGAAAAAAGTTATGTATATATATCCTTTTTGAAGTCGGTAGAAAATCGTAATACAGAACTTCCTTTAAGTAGGTAATTTATTAAAAATACATTATTGGTGGATATTATATTATAATAATAGTTTATTAGTCTCTCCATGCGCGTCATTAATGCTTGGATACTTAATTGTGAGTCAAGTTCCGAATCCTAGCTTAGGTTTTGTAGCCTAGTATTTATATATAACAACAACAAACACTCACGCCTGTCACCCAGAGGGTTAGGCGGAGACTACGGACTTCCATTTGGCGCGATCCTGACACACCTCTCTCGCCTCCTTTACATCTATATATCTACGCATACACGCTCGTCGGTTAAGGATACTCCTAATCTGGCCCATTTTTAATGTATCGCCGATTTGGTCGATAAACCTTCGTCTAGGGCGTCCCTTCCCGACCCTGTCGTTCACTTCTGCAACATAAATTTGCTTTGTCACTCTTTCCTCGTTCATTCTTTCTACATGACCAAACCACCGAAGCATTCCTTTCTTAATCATTGTCACAACGCCAACTTGCAAACCACACTTTTCTCTTATCACACTATTTCTCACCCTGTTATTCAGATTCAGCCCTAGCATACTCCTTAAGGACCGCATTTCTACAACATTTATTCTACTCTCATGCTTCTTTTGCCAGACCCAACTTTCACTACCATACATTAAAGTAGGGACTAACACAGCATTATGAATTGCCATACGTGCCTTATTTGACACATTCTAACTCCTCATAATATCGTGTAGAGCCCCATTTACTCTATTTCCTGCGTTCACTCGTCGTACTATATCCTTATCATATCTACTATCCCTGCTAAATAAACATCTCAAATATACAAACTCATCCACTTGCTCAATCAACTCCCCTTCTATTCTTATTTCACATAACGTTTTTATTTATATATATATATATATATATATATATATATATATATACATATATATATATATAAATAAAAACTATAATAAATAAAAAAAATATATATGTATATATATATATTTAATCGTCATAAAGAATAAATTGGTTGAGTCGTAAAGAATATGTTGATTGATTGATTGCCCACGATTGTTAAATAACAGAAATTATTAGAAAAGCCCGAAAACTAAAAAAACATTTGTTTATTTAACAAACAATTTTGTTATTCAGGCTAGGGATACAACATGAACTATATTTATATTAAAAATGTACAGTTCTTGTATTTACATTTTTGAAATTGATATATTAAAATATTATATACTTAGACCTTTGGCCTTTGTACATTGGTACTATTATTTATTCTGTGCCTCTAGTGTCTTGGTGGCAATGCGTTTACATCAAAATATGTTTATATAGCGGTTTCGACCTCGGCGATATCTTAAGCATATTTATTCTATACATATAATACTTATGGTAATAAAAACATCAATCGCACATGATTTATTATTGTTTCGTTAGTAATATCAGAAACTCAGGGACAATCACACGTCATGTTCATTATTTTTTATAGAAGTGCGTGCAAACGAGCATGTATGCATTTATACGTGGTGGACCCACGCTACAGCTATAGTATGATTGTAATACGAATGGGTCGGCTCAACCGTATTAGTAGGACCACGATCTCACACAATACGAACGAAATATAGCAGCTTAATTAAGAAAAAAAGCTTTCGTATGGTGAGCGTAGAGAACCAGAGACTCTTTTTACTGAAAACGAAGTCATTTCATCCATCTCAGTCCTTAGGGATGACTATGAATCTGCATTTTATTTCTTAATTGAGTATAAATGTAGATCTATGGGTCACAGGATCCACTTACCATCAGGTGGATTGTATGCTCGTTTGTCACCCTCATTCTATAAAAAAAATGCGGATAGTGTCGACCGCCGCCCACAAACAACTGTAACACCAGGGCAATTGTCATGGTGCATTGCCGGCCTTTTGAAAATGAGTAAGCGCGTTTCTTAAAGGTTCAATGTAGTTCGTGCGAGAAATTCGGGCGACTTGGATGTAATTTGAGGTAAAATTTATGTCCAGAATATTATTTTGTACCTTAAATAACTAAGTCTCATTAGTCGTAATACGGTAATTGAGTGTTTGTGGTTCGCTGTCTGTACTGTGAAATTAACATCGAGCGGCGGTCGTGCTGAGTACGAGATTTCTCCGCCTAGAAGTCATTCTAGTGTGAAGAGTAGAGAACCAGGTTAAGAGACATTACATCTTAGTCCTCATAGCTGACAACATATCAGTAGCCTTCTTTGTTCGCTGTACGCTGCTTCTCGTCAGAAAAATAGGACAACGTACAAGGTGCGACACATTTGATATAACAATCAACATTCCGCCTGTCCTACTCTCAGCATTTGGTGAGGTCAATGTAAAGCACTATACAATGGACTATAATACTCTAATGCAGAAGCAGAGATGAAGAGTTTTGTAACTAGGTAATATAACTTAAGTTCTCAAGTCACATCACATAACATCCACAGTCAATATCAACATTCTTGTTTTTCATTCTTACTTCATAGATCTTCGCCAGCTGGCAACTGGCTAGCATTATTTGCATTATTTGCCCGTATTAACGATGGTGGACAGACTGATTAGTGGTTTACGTGCCCAGTCTGTGTAGTTTGGGTAAGGAGTTTTTGATTGGATTCTCTGAACAAACGGTCCTGAGCCTCTTGAGTTTAGCCCTTTCTTGTTTTTTACTACGAAATAAAGTTATAAACATAGTGTTTGCAAAATGCAACACATGCTAATGAATTGTTTCATTTTTTCCTAAGGTTTGGCAAATGAATATGCCTCCAGAACTTTCGATGTCGGTTCAGCGAGTACTGAGGACTATGGTATCCGGAGTGATGCTTGTACAATGTTTCACACTCTACGTGTATCTTGCCTCGTACATCGTGCTACTCTATCCTGTTTTCTTGGTTAATTTAACTCTTTTTATTTTTACAAGAATGTTAGTATGTACTTAACTCATAGCTTTTAGATAGTGGTGCTACATTACTAATTTACCATAGAATAGTTACTAAAAGTTTTGATTAAATAAATTATTATATTATAAAATAGTAATTAATATATTCCATAGAAGAGTTATTAAATATATCACTTCTTTTAATGAATAAATTGTAGTAAATATACCATTGAAATGTTAGTCTAAGATTCCGATTAACATTGACTTCACTCAAATTATTATTTTGAAGATATTATAAATACTTACATATTTAAATTAATCAATTACGTCATGCATAAACTACCTAATCATGATCAAGCTTTAATTATGACCAGGCTTCCCTTGTTAATAACATACTAGTTAATAATTAATTAATTACATTCATCGTTTGTTGGTGTCTTGTTGTTTCAAAAAAATATTTAATCAATAATAAAAATTAGGTTCGTTATTTTGGTTATATTAACTAGACTAGATTGCCAGATATAAAGAGGTACCTTTTATAAATATGGCAATGTAGAAGAAGTAAGATGTATTTACTTTGTTTAAGTATAAATCGAAACAAAAAAATCTAGTACAATAAGTTTTTAAAACATAAAATCGTCTTTATATCAACTCATCAAAATAATAATGTTATAGTTTTTTTTTTTATAGAAAAAGGGTGACTAACGAGCACACAGTTCACCTGGTGGTAAGTGGATGCTATATATATATCGACATCTACATTTATCCTCAATTAAGAATCAAAATGCTGATGCATTGTCACCCCTGAGAACTGAGATGGAATGCCTGGAATGTTAATGTTAAAGTTAGATAAATCTAGGAATGTTGATATCAGGATAGACTTATGTTTTCTTAATTTGTAACTCTATAATGTAGAGTCCAACGACATTAAAGGTTAAGATTGTACAATAAAATAAAGAAACGCAAAATAAAAGTAAAAAAATTAACATGACGTATGCATCAAAATTGGACGCCTTTTTCCAAAGACAACAATAAAATTCATTTTTGCAAAAGGTACCCGCGCTCGACATGCCGAATGGCTACCGTGTTAGGTACCTACCTGTATTATTATGTATTCTGTGGTATGGGCAATTCGCAGTAACATGTAAAGAGAATATAACCACTGTAAAGCATATTCTTGGAGATATCTATGTTCGCCAGTGGTTATAAACAAGGCCATTGAAGAACAAGATGATATTATATATCATAATTCTTATAAGTAACTTAAAACATTGAATATTCAATATACATATTATGTAGAGTTCGTAATTTTTTTAAATAGAAATAAGATAAAACCTGATTTGGATCGGATATATTAATTTTATAATATAATAACAGGTTCAGCAAACGATCTTCTGCCTTTTTCGAGTTATACTCTAAATTCAAATTGAAGTTTTTACAGTGAAAATATTAAATTTATTAAGAACTCTACCACAACTATCGGATCTAGAATCTAGGATTTTCTTTTAGGATTATTTCTTTCCGGGATCTTTTTCTAATAAATCAACATAATATATTGTGAATTTGCGTCATTTTGGTCCATAAATAAAACATTTAATGACATGACTATAGTACCACTCAACAAAACAAATATACTTCTATTGTGTGAATATGTCGTATAGAAGTTAGAGACCTAGATTAGACACCATTCGCCATACATATGTACTTAGACGCACCAACGGTTGTAATATTATATCATGATATAACCTTGTAGTGGCGGTGCGGTGTAAGAATATCCACTACTCCATGTTATCCGGTGGGTGGACTAAGACGCAACAAAGGGAAACAAACCAGGGTTGCCAACCCGCCTGCCAAGCGGAGCAACTATAGCAAAATTCCCCATATAAGGTGATTTATGGGAAAGGCCCATGTTCAGCAGTGGATTTCATAGGCTGTAATGGATGAATTGATTATAATGTAAAGATAATTTACTTTGTCATTTCAAAAATATGCCAATTCTTTTTCATGGTTCATGGGAACTCTTTCAAAATCTAGATATTATCGAGTTTGTTTTACATTGTGAGCAAGTCCAAAATGTTAATTTAAAATGATTGCAAAATATGTAGCGGACAGACAAAAAACAAACAAACAAACAGGCAGACAAGAAAGTAAGCTTATATTACATTGTCATTCACTTCTGAGTTATAATTAATTATCAAGTCTCTAGCTTATCGGGAAGTCAGTTTGAAAGAGAACAAAGCGAGTCATAAAAACGTGGAAAGAAAGATAACTGAGAGTAATGTTTTCGCTACAGGAGGAACGTCCCACCCTGGTGCTCCCTTGGCTATTGCTAGCTGCGATAAGAAAATTTTTGTGTGAGCTAACAAGTCTGGCTCTAGGCCTTGGTACTTGCGTGCTATTGGGACCTGCCAGACCGCCATGCGTCAGATTTCTTATTACCAAGATTATCTCCATCACACCAGCATTATATATGTGGTTACTTGTTTTCAGGTAAGATTGTTAAGAAAAGTTGATATTAATTAAATATATAGTGTTACGTCATAGTATAGATAAGTAGAGAGTGTAGTTGGTTTTCATACAATTTAAAGACAAAGTGAACTGGAGTGGACTCCACACGAGATGTCTTTCTGAAAATATTTACGTTCTGCCCTCCCAAAGAACTCAATAAAGTAAATCTTCTTGCTTATAGTATTTCATGCCAAAAACCACGAATATAAAAACTAAGGTTATTGTTAGAAAATTATGAGAATTGCGTTAATCTTTTATTTAATTTTTACAACTATATTTCAGGATACCCGCATTAAAATTTGTGCTTCAATCTTTTATTGAAAAATGGAAAATTTAGAAAAATCTAAAAATATAAATAACACACCCGTATTTTTAGATTTAAACACTTTATCATATGTACTTTAAAGGTATTAAATATAAATTTCCATTAACAATGTACAGCTACTATCACGCACTGAAGATGGATTCAGCTTTCAAGACGTTCCCGGCAGTTGTACCTCCAAGTGATCGGGATTTCGGTCTTGAATTAGCCGTTCGTAGGCGACGAACCAAATCTTTATTAGGTGAAGATCAGCTGCGTCGGAAGATTATAGCAGGCCTGTGAGTATTTACGCAGAAATATCAAAGCAAATATTTGTTGTATTTATTTGTTTATTTAAAATACAATACTTTTTTTTTTTACAAGTCATGGTGAGAAAAATATGTCTTTTTCCCAATATTACTTAATTAGTTTTAAATACTATTGTACAAGCAGAAATACTTGTATTCCGGTGTAAAGAGTAAGAAAAATCAGAAAATAAAATTGCAAGACTGGTCCAATTGCAAAACTGCAATATTGGTCCTCAGAGGCGACAAGGCATCCGTGGTTTATTTGTCTGTAGTGAATCAATTCACATTTTACGTGGTAGAGCCATGCTGTGTGGTAGTAGCATGAATAAGTCGGTTCGACCGAGAAAGGACTACGCTCTCACAGAATACCAGAGTATAATAGCAGTTAAATGCTGCTGTGTTTCTTAAGGGTGAGTGTAGAGATCCGTAGATATTTTTTCCTGGAAACGAGGCATTCTATCTTAGACCTCAAGGGTGACAACGCATCTGCAATTTGAAGGCATATAGATGTCTATGAGCCAAAGCATCTTCTTCCATCATTTGGACTATGTGCTCGTTTATCATCTTTATAACATAAAAAAGTAGACTAAAAGCTCGTGTGTTAGCCTTAAAATGTATAAAACATTTTTAATATTATATATTACGTATTTACATTTATGTAAAAAATAATAGACACAGCTATGTAATTTTAGTGAACCCGTGTGATTTTTCGGTAACCTAAATAATGTACAAGTTATGCAAAATTTCTGTTGGTTCAATAAATCAAATTTGTAATCGCGTGGTTCACATTCATACTAAGTAGCGTTATTCGAATGCCAATAATATAATTTTTAACTTAAAACTCAGGTATTATTTTTTGCAACGGCTCATTACAGTGGACTTCTCACTGGATACGGATATTGGATGATAGATATAGATGTCAAAGGGCTACTGCATCTAGGTTATCACCAGTTGGATTGTGTGCTTTATAAGAATACTATATTCAAAATAGACTAGTTTCCAATAGATGAAAGTATAACTATCTCACTTAGGCCAAACGCAAAGAACTCAGATCGGCGATGAGCAGCAACGTTAATGATGCAGAAATTCTGCCAAGTGTGGCAGTTAAGGAAAATCCTCCCTACAACGGTAGGGACCCATATCCAGTAGTGGACTTTTATGGGCCGATAATAAAGACGAAGCAATAAAGGAAATGCACAGGATAGAAGCAAACATACTGATTGATTGTAGTAATATCGATTTGACTGCAATTATTAGGATATTTGGTGAACTGTTTGGTATTTTCGTGAGTAAATTAGAGTTAGGACCACTTACATATTAGTGATTTTCAACTCTTTTCATTCATATAAGGTATAATTTCTTATAAGGTGAAATAAAACACAATGATAGGAGAGCTTTGGTATATTTAGATTCGAAAACCAATAATTTATGTAGTTTGTTATGAAGTCTGTAGTGTACTGACTGTACTTTTATTAAGTTATATAAATAACTACAAAAATGTGCAACTATATAATATAATATAACAAATTATCTATAAAATTTTTCTTTCTAGATATGCAGAAAGACAATCCATAACCAAACCTCATTTAACAACGCGTCTTAAATTTGGTGAAACAGCTTATGTTGTTCCTTCTGACAATAGCGATGCAGATGTAAAGAATGAAGCGGATGTTATGCGACCTATGTCGGTCACTTCCAACAGAACTATATCAGATACTGGCACATTTGAAGACTGGCTAAACAATGAATTGGTAATGCCACGTGATACAGATCGCATACTTGAACAGTTTGCAACGATGTCATTAGGAATAGTGGCATATTTGAAAAAAGACGGGACAGATTCTTCAAAATTTTTTGATTCTTTATCAACGAAGACAGAAAAGAACTTAATGAATTTAGATTGCAATGCTTTGTCAAGTGAGAACACAGACCCACCTCCATTAGTTGGAAGTAGTAAAGGAAAATTAGCTTCTTATTTAACAGATTACCCGCAAATCTTTATGAAAAAAGCTTCTGACATTTTCCAACGAAAATCTGAGTCGAATGAATTGGTGGATAAAGAAACTGAGAATGAAATTGCTGATAAGAAAGGTAGCTTTTCCCATTCATACGATGAAACTGCTTATTACGGTGAAAAAAGTTCTTTGAACGAAATTAATAACATTAAACCTAGCGGCGAATCTAGTTATGTTTCACCGAATAATTCAAACATTTTAGAAACGGATTCGAGCCGTCCTAAAACTCAAGTAAGATATAACGAAAAGCCTGAATTTAATATTACAATGACACCAGAATCAAACTCAAACGTAAGCTTTAAGAATATTATTAATGATATAATAAGTCGATTACCATCGGATTCTGTACTAAAGTCTGGAAATAGAACCGAACACGACATGGAGTCAAGGAATACACCTCAAAGTCAGTCTACTTCAAAATCATCATCGAGTGCAAGTTTTAAATGAATAATAAATTTTACGTTTTACTTTTTTAATATTTTTTAATAAATAGATTTTAATCAGTAATTGGCTATAAGTTACTAAATGCCAGTAAAATCTTATGGTTTTCGATAGATGGCGGTATAACCGTAATATAAAGACCCGATACAAAGACTCAGACCAGCAATGTGCAGCGGTGTGAGGCCTCTGGTACTGCGATTTTCACTTTAACTGCAAAGCGTGACATTGGCAGAAGTGCACGTTCTGCTGTGGACTTTTGTGGGTCAATAAAGAAGAAAAGGAGTTACAATAATACAACAATTTTCACTGTTAAAACTTGAGGTCGGCATTTAATTTCTTCAACATATATATTGACAAACAGTATTTTCAACGGCCTTAACAGGATCTAAATACAGAACACGATAGTTGTATTCATTCGGATCTATTAAATTAAATTGATACATCGGTAGTCTGTTTGATATAATCCATACAAACTGCGGTACTTCATGATCTATTCGTAAATCATTCGGAAAGACCAACGTTCTAGTGTTTTGTGCCACTATATCACGATTTTTATTTTTATAATCGGTACATGTGTTCCAACATCCAATACTGTCGTATGAAATCAGATTGTAGAACATAACTCCGTTGCGGTCGACCGCCGCTGCAGACACCTGGCCGTTAGGCCCTCGACTCTCACCAAGAAGTTTAAACTCGGCCACAGCGTCGTTAACACGAGTAGGATCTCGTATTACAGATGTATTTACAACAAACTCTAAAGAACTGGACATAGCATGATAATACAGAGGTCGTTCGCCAAGGTGAAACTTGCCTAAGGACATACCAAACAATCCATCGGACCATTGATAATTTAATCCATGCAATGTATAATTAGAGAGCAAAGGTTCTGGGTAGAATGTGTAGTGACTGAATCTCCAAAACATTGCATCGGATTGCCGAAATACTATGAGTCCAAACCGCCAGGCATCAGCAATGTATACGTGGAGGTCTCTACACCGCGCGTCTCTAGAATCTACTACGATATTGGTAATCAATGAATTCTGAAGAACAAATTCATCTGGTATTGGATATCTTGCAAGAACAGTATCCGTTTCTAAGTCGATTGCGAATAATGACGGTGGGCAGAGTTGTCGCGGTGTCTCAAAGGCCTCAACCTGACCTGAATCCAATACCCACATCACACCGCAATGATCTACACTCATGCGAAATACTGATGTGAGCCCTGTACAGTTACCTGAAAAGAAAATGATTTTAAACTAAGGATTAATTAGAACATACTTCAATTGTCCAGTGTTTTTACGCTACAACTCTTTATTGTATGACCATATATTCTGTAGTGCCTTTTATATATATAATCTGACAGTTTTAATCTCTGTCCGAGAAAGAGCATAGGTAAACTTCTCTGCTCTTATTATCGTAAAATAATACATCATATTCAAACAAACTTTATCAAATTTAAAGTTTTGAGAACCGGAGACCCTTTTCATAGGAAACTAGGCATTCCATCTAAGTCCTCAGAGGTGACAACGCATCTACATTTTGGTTTTTAATCATGGATAAATCTAGATGTCTATGGGTCACAGTATTCACTTACCATCACGTGGACTGTGTGTCCGTTTTTCACCTTTAATGAAAAATGAAATGTCAGATGCATCTTATAGCTTACGTTAGATGTCATTAGAACCATTCCGTTTACGCCAAACGTAACATACCAAGACGAGCGACGGTGTGTAACGCCAAAGTGCGTATTAATAATAATTGTTTATTTCCATTTTCATTACAAACCAGATAATACGTTTATATACGAACATAGTTTGGCCATCTGAAGCCAAATCAGGGAATTTATTTTGTATTTCGGCTACAGCGTCCCTCCCCTAACAGACTACAATAGATAGCTAAACTCAACCAAATAAAAATTAACATTACAAGCATAAAAATAAAGAAATTAACAAACAAGCAAAAATATCGAATGTGTGTGTGTGTGTGTGTGTGTGTGTGTGTGTGTGTGTGTGTGTGTGTGTGTGTGTGCGTGCGTGCGTGTGTGTGTGTGCGTGCGTGTGTGTGTGTGCGTGCGTGTGTGTGTGTTTGCGTGCGTGCGTGCGTGTATGTGTGCGGACGTGTATGTGACTGATTTATTGATTGTATTGTAGATGTTATTGTAATTTACCTGCGTTATGCCATAGCCAGTTAGGATAAGGTTCTAGCGGCGGAGATTCCTCCACCGCTGCTATTGGTAACGCTGATAATGTGGCTGGCACGCCTCTTTTCCATTTTGGAGTACTAACAAAGATTCTTCCTTTCCATCTTTCGATACCAAGAGGTATCACATTAGTCTGATTGAAGAGCCTGTAAAAAAATACACGATATATTTCACATTACATTTAAAATCCCGGTGAGGTAATTGGTTAAGGTAGATTGTGTTTTTTCACTTAATCTAAAATAATTTAAATTTGAATAGAATAGAACATATTTATTAGCAAAAATATAAATATGTTTATTAAAGTACTATAACCATTTCGCTTTTGCATAAGCAAAATATATATATTTTAAAAATCATAGTTCTAGTCTTTACTTCAGAACGTTCAAAAAGTTTATAAGCGGTATGCGTAAATCTTTAACATTTTTACGAATTTCTCGTACGAATTTATGGGGATCTGCTATATAAATTTCTAATCATGTTCACGACTTTATCTACATACATTCTGGTAGATAAAGTCAATTAATACACCGAAACAAAAACTATTCTATAATAACACGTATAAATATTATGTCAAGTGGTTAAAGGAAATATTAGTAATGTAATTAGAATAATATTTTAAGTAGTTCTTTACGAAAACTAGAGTAGTTTTCTGGTTAAATTCGATCACACGACGACAACTGTTTACCCGCTTGTTTTGCATGAGGCACGTTATCAACGCGCTGATCGTGAGTGATTCGAGCGTAGGGTTGCCGAATGGTATCCTAAAGAAGGACATATTTTCCTTACCTATATGTTGTTCTTCAGCCTTCCTTCGCCCGCTACATAGGATTTTTTATAGGATAAGGGTGACAAGCGAGCACACAGTCCACCTGATGGTAATTTTTTTTATAGCTTAAGGGTGACAAACGAGCACACAGTCCACCTGATGGTAAGTGGTTGCTGCGGCCCATAGACATCTACATCTATCCTCTGTTACAAATCAAAATGTAGATGCGTTGTCACCCGTGAGGACTAAGATGGAATGCCTCATTTCCAGTAAAAAGGGTTTCCGGTTTTCTACACTCACCATACGAAACACAGCGGCATTAAGGTGGTATTTTACGCTGGTACTCTGTAAGGATATAAACTTTAGATTGTTACGCAAGAAAATTGACAGCGACAACATCGATGCATGGTGCTGTGATCACCTTTATACTCACGTCGGGATGTGCTGTATATTCTATACTAAGCTGCACATGTTCCAAGTGATTGAGGATTGAGCAAATTTAATATTTTTTAGAGAAAACCTGATCCTCATATTTTATTATTTAAAGTTTCTGAGAGTTGAAATTTATTTAAGATTTTATTTTATTTTAAAATATTTTTTTCCAATTTCACAAGTAGTACTGATAAAAACTAAACAAATTTTATCAACATCACTGCAACTATGTTAAAGCTGTATTTTTATAGAAAAGGGGACAAACTAACACAAAGGCCCATGAACATTCACAACACTAAAGGAATGTTGGTTTGGATTAAACGATATAATCCAAACCAACGTTTAGTAGACACAGGTTAGTGTGTTACCGCTAAAAGAAACCACTTTGTTGCACTTTTTCATTTTGAAAGCACTTTGCTATGCTTTAACGAGGATAAATGTAGATGTCTATGGGCCACAGCAACCACTTACCATCAGGTGGACTGTGTGCTCGTTTGTCACCATCATCCTATAAAAAAAATGCAGCTGTTCTTTGTGGCTACAGCACAAATATGTCGGCTAGACCGAGCGACCCCGTTTTTACAAAATGCTAGCTAAATAGCAGCATCATACTGTTCCGTATAACGAGTGACGAGAGCCAGAGCTTATTTTTACTGGTAACAAAATTTAGTCCTCAGGGGTGACAACGTATCTGATTTTGATATCTAATTGACTATAGATGTATTATCTCAACCGTGAAGTGGCGGTGTAAGAATATTCACTACTCCATAACGTCACGAGGGTGTCGTAAGAGGCGACAGAAGTAAAATAAAACAGGAGATGGGCAGCATCATCTTCCTGATAACAATTCTAAATAATAAAAAAACTGCGGTTGCCAACACGCTTGGTTGCACCGACTAATAAAATAACAGCAGCGAACAGCTAGTAAAATAAAAATAAATACCCATTCGCAATCGCAGCTAGACGTTCCTGTTCAGTGGGATATTTAAAATCGATCTGTTTCCATCTGTATAAAGTGCCCAAAGTTTTTTTCTGCGTATTCCTTTCATAGGCTGCAGTTGTTGCAATAGTGAGTAATACGCCCAACAGTAACCGCATCTGCAAAAAATAATAACTAAAATTACTAATGTTGATAATGAAAACGATATTTTTCCGGTTATTAGTTCATTTAATTACTTTAAGGCGTTGTTTAATTGCTATACTTCAAGCCTTGGTAACTTCAACCTCATTAGCAGCTTTGAAGATTTGTTTTTATAGATATAATTATTGCGAACGCTCTTTGTTTATTAAAATTAGATTGTATGTTTATACTCGTATAAAAGGTTGAATTTGCAGTTTTAAATTATTTAGAAAATTTATAACTTTTAAGAGTTTGCGACCGAATTCGATATAAGAGTTCTTGAAGTAAGAGTTAAGAGATATTGGCTACATTTGTAAGCTAAAATTACACAATATTTTTGTTTCAATTGTAAGTCACAGTTTTTTTCGATACCAACATATTCATAAATGACTAGACCTTTTAACTTAACGTTTACGGATATTTATTAATATTTTTACAATGTGGGACATTTGTTACTGCGGAAATGGCCCGCAAAATACTGAATGGTCGGTCGACTTGTTGCTCTTTGATATTCTTTAAATGTAGTGTCAGATCTCGAAGTGAATTTCACTCAGAGTTAAATTTGCATTTACTCCGGTTTTAATATCCGCGTTCACTCCTTAAGTTTAATGCAGTGTTAATATAAAAATAAATAACATAACCATAGTGCTATTTTTTGTGTGATATTCTTATTAACCGAAATATATTGTGAACATATTAAGTTATTTTGGTCCATAAATATGTAAATATCTTGACTACGGCGCCACCTATTGGGTACTAGTTTAACAATGGATATCATTAAGTCAATATATTCTAAACTAAGTCGGTCAAGTCGCTTAGAAGTTACACGATAACCAATGCCGGATTTCTATATTTAAAAACGCTTCGTTTTCGTTTACGAGCAATTTTGCAGCAAATGAAATACATAAAAAAACTATTTTTGAAACAAAATACAAGTTCAATTATTCATGAACTGTTAAATTTTTTTTAATTTATGTCATCCTAAGTTGCTGAATGAATAGTTTGTAATATGAACTGTTTTCACATGCACCTCGTATTTTTTTTATAGGACAAGGGTGACAAACGAGCACACAGTCTATCTGATCGTAAGTGGTTGCTGCAGCCCATAGACATCTACATCTATCCTCGTTTGCGAATCAAAATGCAGATGCGTTGTCACCCGTGAGGACTAAGATGGAATGCCTCGTTTCCAGTAAAAAGGGTCTCCGGTTCTCTACACTCACCATACGAAACACAGCAGCGTTAAGCTGCTATTTTACGCTGGTATTCTGTGAGAGCGTGGTCCTTCCCCGGTCGAGCCGACCCATTCGTGCTACAACCATAATATGGCAGCATGGCTCTACCACGTATAAACGTTACGCTTTAATGTTACGTAAAACGGATCTTTACGCCGAACGAAAAGTTTCTTGTATGTAGGAATCGGGCATAACAGACGCACCAACTATTCTATAAAAGATAATCTTGCATCTTTTCGTAAATATCTGAGCCTGATTAAGCATTTCATTGTCACCGATTGTCATTTAGTCTAAATAAGCCATACAGCCCCCTGTGTAATAGCACAAATATCACCCAATCATATCAGAGCGAGTATCTTCTCTACATAGTAAAAAACTAAGTTGTTTCCCGCCGTCTGTTCGCTTAGAGCTTTTAAACTACACAACGTTAAAAACGTTTGTGTGGGTTTTAATCAATCCCTAGATGGTTTAGAGTTACATTTGGATTTAGCTGTTGTCTATATTCCGAAATCACCAGTGCGAAGCCGTTCGCTGTCCGTTCGGATCGCTAGCGTAAAATAAGAGCAAAAGCGCTTTTGTATTTTAAACTGGTGATATATGATATCTAACGATAGAAATGACTATATAACATAGGGCCAAATACTCAAACGTTAGTCCGTTTTAAGATGCCGTTAAGTCTCGTGCTGTCTCTATCACTTTAAGTCAAAGTGACTGTGACACCACGAGACTTAACGACATCTTAAAATTGACTAGCTTTTGAGTATTTGGCCCTATGTCCTGTAGTAATTTGGGTATTTGGGCATTAAAGTATTATTTATATTATAGTAATTAGCAATTTCTCATAGCAAAAGTGCTAACGGCGCAAACATTTTAGATTTTTGCTCACCTCGAACGCGAAGCGGAGAGGTTGAGCTTTACTGTCGACTTAACACAAGGTTACACAACCTGTTCTCATTAAATCTCGTTTATTATTTTTATACTGCACTATTTTGGCTCTATTATAATCGTTAAAGTTATAGTTCAAATAGGTTCCACACATTAACGTAGACATATTTTCATATAAGGAAAAGCTTATGACAGTCACAGTCAGAAATCGGACTTCACATGTCTTCTATATATGTTATTATCCATATATCGTTTCCTTGCTATGTTTTACTTCTCTCCCTTAGACCATCTCCACTGACCAAGTAGCAAACAAACATTTGCAACTAGCTATTTTAGTGCAGCCGGCGCGGATCGAACTCGGGTTGCTTGCGTGCTAATAATAATGTCCTCCAGACTGAATTTCGGTTACGGCAGCCACTCTTAACGGAAACTAGCCATATATAACAGATTATTGTGCACGAGTGTATACGCAAGCATAAGTGCACGAGTGTATGCGCAAGCAATAAGCGCACTTCTATTCCCTCACTCTCATAGTCCGATAAGACGATAATCCAACACGAGTGAAGAGAGATCAGGTGTAAGACCAACGGCTTTACGCGCTTTGCGAGGCATGCAGGTTTAACACCACCAACTTACTGACTCCAGGCTGCCACTGAGAATTTCTTCACTGTAAATCCCAATAACTGATTTTGTCTTGAATCCGGGAGTCGAATCCGGGACCTCATGATCAGCAATCGCGTTTACAACCACTAGATCAACGAGGTAGTCAAACAAAACAAAAAGTGCTCGCGTACTAATATGTGGCTATCGATTAGGTCTTGAGCTACTACGGCTACATAACTTTCATCGTTATCATCATTACAGCCCTTCACAAGTCCACCGCTGAACATAGGTCTCCCCCAAGGCATGCTATAAAACATAGTCCCAAGCAACCTGCTTCCATTCACTTCATGCATGTGTTACCAGGTCGTCACTCCATTTAGCATATAACTTTAATAATTTGCTATTTAAATTACTAAACATAATATGATCTCAAAATATTATATAATATTCTTTCACCAACGTGTTGTAACATTCAAAATACTAACATGTTTAAAAATTATGCAAGAATAAATTTTGACTTCACTATTATGAATTAGGTATATAGTATTTTTTAAATCTCTTACATAATATAACCTCTTTCCAAAATGATATATTATAGTAAGATATATAGATTACGCATTTCTCCTCTTTTTGCATTTTTAGCTGACATAGACATCGACATGGTTTCATAAATGAGACATTGATTATTCACGGGTTGACGATGGTATCTATCAGTTTGAAGGTTTGGCACGACTACAGTTCTTACGACGCCACGATTTAAAGGCGGTTTTGCATAGATTTCGACGAAATACGCCGAAAGGTATGAATAAAAATTTTCGATAATTTCGAGATATCGATTCTAAAAAATTACTTTTCTTTACACAGGAATATTGACCCCAAGTTACTTCTGCAACGGCTTCGGCGCTGCGGAAATGCAGCCCCTTCGCAAATAGCAGTCACTGCAGGGCTGCTCTCCCTCCGCGCCTACGGCTTTAAAAAACACTCTAGGGGTAGGGCAGACAAGACTTGGAGTCGGGGCGTGCTGATTCGGTTTTTGTATTCCATTTTTGAGTATCGATATCTCGGAAACTAAGCGAGATATCGAAAAATATTGTTCTTACTTTGCGGCGTATCTTGTCGATATCTATGAGAATCCGCCTTCAAATCGTGGTACCATAGGAACCGTAGAAGCCCCGAAGGATTAAATATAATTGTCATTCTAGGCAGGCATTGTTACATACATTAAACCTTCATCCTTGTTATGAAAAAACCGTCTTAAGTAGGAGGAAATTAGATTTTCTTGTTGTCTCTCTCAGTTGATGATAAATGATAAGATGGAGCCTCATCAGTTATTAGTGTACAGTTCACAGCTGGACATGAATCTCTCCCATAATAGACAGGATTAACCAGTACAGTTCGTCTCGCATAATTCATACTGCTTCCCGTCTTCGGTCTATTTTATATTTTATTTATTTATTACATAGTTAATTATGCCGCTATCAATCAAAAGGCCCAAAATCTTTTGGTCTTTCCTTAAGCGGAGAATTTTTTGAGAAAATTCATAAGTGACATTTTAGATTGGGTTGGGAAACTCGTCTGCTAAGTGTGGCAACAATGGCAAATATCCCCCTATGAAGCAAATGATTGGGGAAGCCTATGTTCAGCAGAGGAGTTTTGATAAGGTGCGGCACTTTTGTAATTTATTTCTTAAGTTACGCGTATCCAATTGCGGTAAATAAAAGAAATAATACAGAGAATAAAAACTGAAAAACAATAAAATTATTTGTGCATTAGGATAAAGATGTGCTAATGAATAAAAAAAAATAAAAATACTTGAGTATATAGATGGTAAAAGTTGAAGTACATTAACAGGTAACTATGTAACCGTAATATTTAGGGATTGTTGAAATATTAATGTTCAAGGCATCTGTTCCTCCCTCTGGTATAATAATAAACTATAGTTAGTATTATATATCGCAACACCCTTGCGATATGTACTAACTATAGTTTATTATACCTCAGTAATAATTTATAAATATTCCTTAAAATTTTAAGTATGTGCCATTCTGCACCTTTCATAATTATTTATTTACAACAAAATTTTGTTAGTCGACTACCATTATATAGGGTTATATTTCAAAGAGTAGCCAAATTTTATACTTTTGAAATGTATAAATAATTATATACCGTTATTGCAGTTTTTGAAAATACCAGTAAATAAAGCTTCTACTTTTATTTGAAATTATCTTAAATTAAATGTGATTAATGGGCAACAACGTTTTTGCCTACCGATCGACCCTTACGAATGTTTGCGTGCGCAGTAAAATCAGTTAAAATAATGCATTACCACACATTTTTAATTTAAAAGGTAAAAAGGACAGAATGTTTGGGATTTCTTTAAACTAATTTTTCTTCACTATTTGTTTATATTTCTTATTCTGAAATTTCTATGCAAAATTACTGGTGGTTAAAGGTTACTGCAAAATAACCCTGTATATATCACTAGCGACCCGCCCGGCTTCGCCTGACTAGGATATATTTAAGTGGTATTATTTAGATTTAAGATAATCAAAGACCATTTCTTTTATCGGTTTGTTCTTTAAAAATATGCAGGTTTTACAGTTAAAGTATAGCTTACATCCCTCCCGGCATTGGCCCCTATCTGTTCGTAAAGATTCATCACAATGGGTTTAGTCATTCCTGAATATACATACATAAAATTTAAAAATGGTTATTTATGCTTTACATTTATAGATTATAAAATTACTAAAGAATTTAAAATAATTTTTGTATATTTTAGATTTTCATACACTAAATTATTTCATAACTAGCTTTTTACCCGCGGCTTCGCTCGCGTGCGCTTGAATTTAGGAACATCATTAAATGCTGTTCCGTGCCAAATATAGAAAAATTCGATCACTTTTAGAGTCACCTCGGTGTCTATGTCTCTATGTCTGACAAAGATTTTTTTCATTCTAAAATACTATTAGACGTAGATGTTTGAAGCACAGACATGCTACAGAAACACGTGAATATATATGTCTAGAAACTCCTACTATTTTTTATATCGGGCGTGTAATAGTCCTGAAGTCAAAATGTATTATTATTTACATTTTACTCTTTACATTTATTTATAGTTAAAGTTAATTTAGTTTTAACAACGTATTATAATGTTTATTTGAGACATGTTATTCATATCATTGGTCCTATTTAATATTGATTGGCACCATAAAAAAGAGGTAGATATTTTTTTTAACTTCGAGTAGACTTGAAAATTTCATAAATACAGTTCTATAATAATGAATACTACACATGAATTAAAACTAATGTTACGGGTTTTTTTACACATCTTGGATGAAAGTTCCGAGTAAAAGAACATATCGTTGATGTGAAGCACCGAAGCTCCAGGAAGTCTAAAGTGTGTCAACATGTTTAGTATCGTCCCAACCATTATATCGGATCTGATAAAAAACAAATCCTTGGAATAGAACACCGAATCCTACCAATGATGATTCGCGAGGGTATTGAAATTAAAAATATCCTAATTTTAATAGGGAAGATGGTTGAGTGCTACCATCTGCCAAGGACCCCATAATTAATAAAATTAAATTCAAACTACTACTGCATTTATTCTATTCTATTTTAACTATGACATCAGGTCGTTAAACACCTCAGTTCTCCCGCCCCTTCCGTGATCATGGGTGCTGTAAAGTGTCCAAAACATCGGGAATTTAAAAAGTTAAAATCAAATGCGATAATATCCTTAAAATTAGTTTTATTCCTTATAAATATTATTCACAGTGCACGTGAGGATCACTACACTCATGAACGGGAGTAGAAAATGTTCGCCCTGTTGTGGCGCTGAAAGAAAATCCACCACCTCATATCGTACCGTCGTAAGAGGCGACATAGGAAAACAAACTGGAGATGGGATGGGCTGCATCATCTTCTTGACAACAGATCAAAATAATAATAGCTGCGGTTGCCAATCCGCATTTTAACTTTTACCCTCATCTTTGCAAGCCTTAATATTTATTGTAGAGTGAAAACTAAAAGCAACATACTCGAAAACACAAATAAAATAAAAACAGCATATATTGCCCCATGAAAAGTAAAAAAGTAGCACCTTACATGTTACTAATAATAGGCACAGGACACAGAGTTTTTAGCCAAAAAAGTGTTCGCTGCGCTGATTCCAACGCGGGATCAATGTAATGTTAATGATTCAATTATTTACATCGTATATTCAGTAGCATTGTATTATTTCATTTTATCAATGACTTGCCATTTTAGTTTATTTAGAAGTAAGTAGGTGGCGCTAATATTAGATGAAATAATGAAAGCCAAAAACATACCATCTAGTAATATAAGCAATAGAAGCGAACATTTATTTATTAAATCAATAAGGGATGAAGTGAAGTCAATTCTCTCAAAAGTTCTGTTTCTGTTAAAAAATACGCTATTAGCGCCCCTAGTGGTGAAAAGCAATTTAATGATATCGTCATATGACCATATTATAAAATAGAAACGTTGTGTTTAGTTATAACTATCTTCAAACGATTTCTATTCATTGATTTGGTCAAGCTATATCATGACATGGTCAACAAATAGTGTTAAATATCACGAAATGACCACACCATTTCACGAAACGATAGACTACTTTATGATATATGATCAATTCTACGATCTGGCCACGACATCCATAAAAATCTCTTGAATAAAACTATAATGATAATGAAAATTTTGCAAGAATTGCAAATTTCAACAGTGGTCACCGGAACCGGTGTCACGCGGCAGCTTTTGCTGTCGCACGGATGGGCAGGCTCGAACCGGGGTGGTACCACCATCTCACAGAAAACCAGCGTGAAGTAGAGGTTTACCTCTGCGTTTCGCTTGGTGAGTGCAGGTACCCGGAGGCCCTTTTTACTGTAAATGAGGCATTCCATCTTAGTCCTCACGGGTGACAACGCATCTACATTTTGATTTGTAATAGAGGATAGATGTAGATGTCTATGGGCCGCAGCAACCACTTACCATCAGGTGGACTGTGTGCTCGTTTGTCACCCTTATCCTATAAAAAAAATGCAGACAGACCAGCTTTAATCACTTAACATATATATTAGTAATTCAAATAAATACCTTATCAATTTTTATATTTATAATAGACGTCACTATTATCTATTGAAATTATTACACTTTCAAAATAAAATAACAAAAATACCAAAAACTAAACGTTATTACTATATATATTATAACTAAACGTTACAGTTTTTTAATAATTTTAAAATCTAATAATTTAATCATATAAATGTAAGTTATTTATATAATTTCATGTATTAGTAACTGAAGGCAAAATATACTACTTTTTCCATTTAATGATAGATGGCGCTGTTTTGAATACCAAATCGGTGTAGTTTCAAATTAATTTACCAAGATTATAACTATATTTTAAACTTTATTTACAAATATGGTATTTATTTGAAAAACACCCGTCATCGCGCCTATAACTAAGATATAATAGAAAATTAACATCTAAAGGAAACAAAATACTTAACCTTCCTTTGTTGAAGTTCCGTAATCGGATAAAAAGTAGCCTATAAGTTGCCCCGGGTTACTCACTACCTACATACAAAATTTCATGTAAATCGGTTCAGTAGTTTTTGCGTGAATCCGGAATACACAGACAGACAGACAGACAGAAAGACAGACAGACAGACAAAAATTCTAAAAACCACTAATTTGGCTTCAGAACCCTTTATTTAGTCCTCTGGACTTGTTTTTTCAAGAATATATTAGAATTACAGACACGACTTTTCTACAGATTTATTATATGTATAGATACGTCGGGGAAAGTTTCTTCGTATTTTGTTTGTATGAAATTTGTTTACACTGTTTGTATCTGGCTGGTTTTAATATCAATACATATTATAGGACATTAAGAAAAAAAAAGTAAGAGACACTTTTTACCCGACCTATTATAAAGTTTACATTTTACAAACAATATGAAATAAAAAATAAAACAAGCAATATGAAAATAAATGATTAATTAATTATTTTAGTTGATTTTAATTTTAATACTTATATGAATATTTATTATTAACTACACTCAAGTTAAACTTGAAATTTTGTTTATCGACCATGCGATCAGCGGTGAAGTAAAAACCTGTATTTATGGATTCAAAATATTGCGGAAACATAATATTATGTGAAGACCAAACCTCTTCAGATATAAGAGGAGGCCTATGGTCAACATGGAAACGTAACTTATACACGTATGTATCAAACGTGTTAAGGACACTGCGCGAACTAGCTATTCGTATGCTACCGTTTCTTGTACTCAAATTGTTAGTGCCACATAAAGAATTAAAGATGCAATACCGTAATAATATAATATAGTCAGGTTGCTAATAACGTGATTACAAATAAATACTACTTTCGAAACAACATATATAAATCATATATTTTATAAATGGTCAACAAAACATGCATTAGTTGATTAGCTAACGATTAGACTAAATTTGCAAAAATCAAAAGGCATATTTGCATTCAATAAGCAAATATCTAATTGATTGTATCGTATTGTGTAAATTTTGTATTAAAAGTTTTCGTAATTTTGTCTTTAAACTAAAAAAAAAACCACAAAGTTATTTTACATTTTAAGCATTGAATAGTTTAAAAGTTTTCAAAATAAATAACTCTAAATATCTCTGACTGTTTTTTTTAATAACTTGTTCTTTACTCGTTTCGTCTAGTATTAGAATGTAATATGATTATCATTAAATATTCTCTTACCTTTGTATATTACTAGGTGAGCGCGTCCATTCCACACCCTGCTCAACGACGTAATGTTGTTAATGTTAACTTGTTATGCTGCTTTGCTTACAACTCATTAGATACATATTATTACTTGCTTTTCCCCCGGCTTCGCTCGCGTGCACTACGGCTTAGCTACATTTTTAGTGTTCCGTACCATAATTATCAAAACAGAACACTTGATTGAATCACCACCGTGTGTCTGTCACGAACATTTTTCGCAGGGACTATTTTACATATATAGATGATTGAAATTTAGCATAATAAATAAAATAGACAGTAACCTAAATACCTCAAGTTAAAAATAACAGTTCTCTACTTAAGGAATTAGTTTTAGGAAATAAAATATGAGGGTATATAAAAGCTCCAAAAAAGTATCTTCAAAAAATTGATACGAAATCAAAAAACACAAATAAAAATTGTAGGTAATAAAATTAGGGCTAGAAAAAAATATGAGAATTTCATTTTCACTTATTTATTTATTTATCTTAAAAATTAATGTTGGATTTCATGATCTTATGTATGGTTTTGTTTTAACTTATGACATAATGTGTTCTGGTGATAGTTGATTCATATAATTCTATTCTAGTCTATTTTTCCATTATTGATTCAGTTGGATTCCACTCAGAAAATTCAGATCAAACAAGTGTTTTCTTTTTACCCATCTTTAAAACACATTTTTGATATATGTATTTAATATTGAGGGTACTTTTCCTACTAAATCTTGTTAGTTTGTATCTAATCGTTAGCTCAAGAGCTACAAAAAAAACTTAATATTTCCAATAATATGTATACTAGTAGGTTACTAAATTAAAAACTGTTGAATAGCCACACTGGTCTCATCTCATTTCTGAGACGGTTTTTGGACGGTGAAGAGTTCGCTTCGCTGCCACTATGCGTGTTGCGGACTTCACACGTCCTCAAAATATATATTTTTAACTTCTCGAATATGCAGGTTTCTTTCCGATGTTCACCACTTTCGCCAGTACGTGGTTTCGCCAATACGTATAAAACGGCATTTCAAATTATAATTGACACTGTCATTGGTGCTGGTGGTTCTCAATTCTCATTGAGAACACAGGTCAAGTTTACAAGAAATAAAACACATCAAGTTTAGAATTTGTATTCTTGGCACAGAACAATGATTGTGCAAGCATAGCTTTCACTTCACGATTTTACAATAGCTAAATATGTATATACTGTTAGGTGGAAAACTGAAAAGAAGCATTTGCACCTTGCAATAATAATCTAAAATAATCAAATTGCAATCCGTAATTCTGCTTTGAAACGATGATACAAACCATCACGTCACTAACTACTACATACACATTTTATAGAAATTCGTCCAGTAATAGATGGACAGATAAAAATTCTACAAACCACTAAATTGACTTCAGCAATGGTCCCTGGACTTGCTTGTTGCAGAAAATCTAAAAATAACAGACAGAAATTTTCTACAGATTGTTATATGCATAGATTGCGTGAATGAACATTTTCAAAACCAGTCCATAACGTAGTGTAATCATGCCAACGTCCAATACTTAGTTTGTTTTAGATCTGGTTGTGGTTGTATTTTTGAATATATAATCTAAGGTGACATATTTTATTGCAACTCTAGCTTACATTCGATGTTACGTAAGAAGATTCTGAATTCGTATTTTTTAGTAACGGCTGTACCGATTTTAATGATTTTTTGAAGTGAAAACTTTTAGAATCGTGATTTGAAACTCGATGAAACGAAACAGCGATACTAAAAAGAGACAAACATATACATCTATAGGATTTAGCCTGCGAGAGAATGAGGTAGAATACAGTATAAACCGCGAACTCAAAACGTTGTGGTTTCGAATCCGCCATTCGATTACTTTCTTTGTTATTGTCTTTTAAAAAACTGTATTATTAAATTTATTTTAATTTATTTAATATATTAACAAATTTATTAAATAAATAAAATTAACAACATTGAATAAAATTATCTTAATATACCAATCCATTTATATCAATCCAGGATTTCATAACTTCAGTCCATTCAGTGTTTATTTTACGTACCACCTTGAGAATCAATAAATTTTGACTTTACCTATAGAATGAAGTATATGTAGATGGCGCTATTACAAAGCAATATTAGTCGAAAGAAAATATTCTTTTGATTTATTAAGGTACGTGAGGGTAATATAGTCACCTTAAGCTTTGCCGCCCTATAAAACCAAAACTAGAAGAAGGACAGAGACCAAAACACAAAATTTTAAACTATAACTAATATATTAAGAAAAAAAGAGAAAACAAACTTTGGCAAGAATTAAGAACACTTCGAAAAATCAAGTTAAAAAAAGCAGTTAATGACCATATTTACCGCATATGCTGGAAATATGGTCACTATATGTCTTAGTTCTCGCATTTTGGGCACATGTATGTTTCTTTATCTTCTGCTGTTAATCCTACACACTCTTTATGTACATAAACACCACAACATTTGCAGAGCATTATGTCTGCTACTCTGTCTTCCTTACAGAGGAAGCAATACCATGACTGCGCTTGTTTGCTAGCTTGTTTGCGTCTCTTCACTGGATGGAAAGTTTTTGTGCTTAATGGGGTATTTACTCCTGTAGGATTTATCTTAACAAACAGCGACCTTGTCAAATGCTGTGCCAGACTGTTAATAGTTTTGCGTCGTTGCGACTTATTATAAGAATTTTTTTCAGGTGTTTTCATCATATCTGTGAAGGACACATTGCCCGCTTCATTTATATTGTTGGAAGGTTTTGACAATATCGGCTGCAGAACATTGCATAACGTGGAGGAAACTATTGGCTGAACAATGACTTCAGTAGTTGAAGGTATAGGCTGAACAGAGCATACAGAATTTGTAGGCCCTGATTTATTGAACACTGGTGGGTTCACGGGTCTTAATTCTATGACTTCCAGGGAAGCCAATGGTGCTGGTTCATCGCTGATGCAAGTTTAAAGGGACGTTATCTTTGGAACTGAAACTCTCATCATTGAGTGCAGAGGCTGCATTTATAATGCTAGCTGCATTATTTTCATCAGTATTGCTCTCCGGTTCACCTGCTTCTGGTAAGTGAGTTGGAATGCTAGGAGCATAAGCACATTCCAGAATTCTATCTGGGTTGAATGGATAGATCCAGTAGCTTCAAATACGGATTTTATATTAGATGGGGTAAGAGCTTTGTCCCATACTGGAGTAAATATCCTCACGATTCTTTGTTTTGTCAGAGCTTTGTCTTTGTTCTGGAACCGAAATTTCTGAAGCTGTTGATCCCAGTAATGTTCAAACGCTCTAAAGACAGCCTTGTTCATGGGTTGCAGTTCGTGCGTCGTGTTACTTGGAAGAGAGAATAGAATAATGTCGTGTTTATCTGTAACGTCTACAATATTGTAATCAAAGTGGCTAGGTGCTCCATCGAATATCGATAAACATTGATCTGGAGTCTTGAATTTTGCAAAATGATGTATCCATTTCACAAAGGTTTTACAGTTCATACTGCCTTTTGGAGTCATTGCTACTAAAGTGCTTGGCGGTAAATTATCTTGCCACTCTGATTTCAAACTCCTTTGAAGAGGGTCATGTGTGGTATGGTGTTACCGATAGCATTTCCACAGGAAACAATAGTTACATTTTCAGCATGTTCCGAAGCTAGTGTGGACTCGCTTTACACCTTTCTGTGCCAAAACTAGTAGACTTTTGTGAAGCTTCAAGTGGCAGCCGGTTTCATCAATGTTGTAAATCTGAGCCGGTTTATATAGCATAGCTAACTTCTCCATTATTTGCTTGAGTTTTTTTTTAAATAATCATCCACCACAAACTTGTTAAGCTTTTGTGCCCTAGCAGGACTTAACTTTTGGCTTTTTCTCAAAGAAAGATCTTCTGGACGTTCCATAAATCCTATCAACCAGTCACGCCCAACTTTACCGTTCCTTCAGTTAAATTAGGTATACGAATTTTGTTGTGTTGGCAATATTGATACACAGATATTCTCAATAACTTTGGTGTTATAGGATAACCAACGCTTGCTAATCGTTTAATACGCGTTACCAATTCATTTTCCTGTTCTGAAGAGAGAAATGGTTTGCGACCAAGATGAGACTTTAGAATTTGTTTTTTTAAGTGTTCTCCTTGGCATTTTGAACTGTTTTATTATAATGACCCATAATCTGAAAAAATATAATATTAAGCCCTATTATTTAGATAATCCTAACAAAAATATCCTAAATCTTTTCTTACTATTTTCATTCTGTAAATATGGTCATTTCGGTGGCCATATTAGCAGAGCAGTACTTGTTCACTTTGTTTATGAATAACAAAAAAACTATATTTAGAAGACCATTACGTACACTTGAATATTTAAATATATGATAAATTATTTAGTTACCTACTTATAATACGTTATGATGACTCTTAAAACAACAAAATTGATAGAACATAGCTATTTTTAATAAATTATAAGCAATACTTCAAACTCTGACCTCACGAAATCGAATACCTTTCAAAATGGCGTCGATATTCGATAAATCAGCGCCCTTTTGACCTTTTATTATTTGATTGAATAGTGAAAAGCTATCGTATCATAGAGTCATGTATGCAAACAAGGCTGTAGACATAGACATTTAAGTAGTAGTATACCTATATATTTATATCTCTTTGGCTGTAGATTTTGAGTTATAAAAAAGTGACCATGTTAACGGGATCACCTTATTACCCTCATGTACGATACACTAAAATTAAGTCTAAAAATAAGGATGTAACATTTATTTGCTATAAAATTAAAATTTTATTTTATATCAATGCCACACTTGTTGTAGAAAAGGGTCATATTAAATAAATCATTTGCCTTGAAATATTTTTATTTTATATTTAATTTCATTGTTGAAGGTTTCACGTCTATCGCGTGTGAACTGCACACATGTTTTATTTTTAATAAATAGGATATACATCAAGGAGGTCCATTTAAATTAAAAAAAAAATATTCCACCAATAAGAACAGAATAAAACCGGCCAAGTGTGAGTCGGACTCT